TGACAACTCTGCCTGGGGCCTTCTAACCTGATAGTAGGGAGGATTCTATGTGGCCATCCTGGTATGTGTGTTCCCACATTCTTTACCATCCTCACCCTGACTTAGAAATAACCTTGAAATATTTACAACCTGGAAATATTCACTGACTTATCTTAAGGCTTCTCCCCTCAAGCCCCCAATTCCCTGACCCTCGAGGAAGAGGTGAAATTTGCCTCATCGGGCCACCACAGACTGTGGTCTTCCGAGGCTAACAGCAGTGGAAGGAATATGTTCTGCCCCTATTGTTTTGAGATGGATGGTCTTTTCAGTCATCAGGGTCCTTACTTTCTGGTACAATCTGGAAATCATACTTCTGTTGAGCTGTGGCTACTCCCATTGACCAGGTTGAGGTTCCTTCCCTCCATGAGATGCTCTGGGAGGAAGTGAGTAGGACTCACCACATAACCAGGCCTAAGTGGCAGAGTCTCAAGCCTGACAGGGACAGTGCCCTTCGTGGCCCCCTTCCTTCTGGGAGGGATCCTTCATTGTCAGCCAGTGCCATCAGTTGACTCCTGTTCAGAACTGGGTACCCGACCTCAACTGAATGGGGCCTCCTGCACTAGTCCAAGGACTGTAAGGCCCTGAAGCCATTCGCCTTCAGAAAATGAGGGATAAACTTAATCTGAAAGCCCTGCCTGTTCCCTCCCAGAGCCCATTACATTTGCAGGACTTTCTAAGAATTTATCTGTAACAGGGTAGTTGGCTGCTCCACTCCTCATACAGGACTGTGCAAATGTCATGCCTGGGATTTCCATGCTCTGATGAAGAGCCAGCCTATAAATCAATGACCACATCTCCTTGATACCCTCCATGCAGAAGTCAGGGGGCCCTTGAGCTGGCCAGCACTTACCTATGCTTCCCAGGGCTCACTGGAGAGGAGGGAAAAGTGTAGCCCTGTTGGCTGTGAGTTGAGGGGCTTCCATGTCCACATCCTGGGTCCTCACTTTGCACCCTTCCTGGGGTTCTAGTCTCTGCTGATCTGAGGCTGAGGACTCTGCTGATTCCCAATGTCCTCACCTTCCCGGGACCTGAGCTGAAAGCATTAGCTACAGCAGCCTGGATTTTTCTGGACTTTATGGGCTTGCCAATGAGGACAGGTCTTTACAGGTTGCTACTGTTGTGGCTGGGTCTTTCTATCACCCTCATTCAGGTTAATCACCGTCAATTCTGAGACTGATACTCACTCCTATCCGACCTCAGAACTCTGCCCCAACACCAAGTTTCTTAGATCTCTGAGAAGCCTGAGGAATAAGCGAGGCATGCTTAGCCTAACAGTTCTGAGATCCTCTGTGTCTGAGAGCAGATGAGAGTGCTGTCCCAGTGACTCCCCCCATATTCTTGGGTCTTGCTCTCCTCAATCCTCCTACATGGGGTCCTAATCTTGCTTTATGTGTCTTGGATCAAAGGGTTCTGGGGAAATTCCACATCTCTGCAAACTCTTGAGCCATGTTTGCTCTGCAATGCTACAGAGAATGAATGGGTCCCTGTTCCAGGAGTGATGGGAGATGGACAAGCTATAGCCCAAGGAGTCCCAAGAGAGGTGGTAGCCCATCAGGGGAAAAAAAGTACACCACTCTACCTCCCCATCAGCCAGGTGAAGGTTCTCACATCATTTCTGTTCTGATAGATTTACTTTCTATAGGCAAGAGACTGTAGGCATGATATGCAGAGCCCTTGGTCTTCAGAGGTTATCTAACATGGCCAATGTACATGCTTATACTGGCACCGAATATTGTCTCTTTCATTTATCTGTGAGTAATGAATAAGGTATTTGTATTTTTTGTTAAATATATTTGGTATTCTTACTCCTCTGGCTACACATTCCAATCCAGTAGCTTGAGCACAAGGGCATTCTTTTTTTATCACTTAGGACAAATTTTGAAGTACTGAGAAAAACACTGAAATAAAAGATACAGGGTGGGGACTTTCCTGGTGGTCCAGTAGCTAGTAACCCAGGCTCCCACTGCAGGGGCCCCAGGTTCGATCCTTGGTCAGGTAAGTAGACCCCACGTGCTGCAAGTAAGATCCAGCACAGCCAAATAAATAGTCAATAAATAAGGAAAAGGAAATGAAATGTCAAATGTTAAAAGTACTTGTTTAAAAAAAAGACAAAGGTATGTCTCAGGGTGGAGAGAGAATAGTATGAGTGTTAAAGTAGTTTAGGGCAGGAGTCTAGTCCCAGCTCTGTTATTTACCAGCCTTAAGTATTTCAGCACAAAACCAAACTCTTAACTATGAGCCTTGGGCTCTCCACTGTGAAGTGAGTTGGATAAGCTCTGCCTGGTCCGACTGGTAGAATATATATATTTTTGGAAAGCATCGGGCATGACACCTGTCTCTATTGAGACATCAGGGGCAATGGCAGCTATTACTATGATTATCTTGACCTCAGATGTTACATCAGCTGGGATTTTTTTTTTTTGGCATCTAAGAGATGTCAGGGACTATGCAGTGTTCCAACTGAAGAAAATACAAAACAAAAAATGATCCAACCTCCCCAATCAGCCAAACTTCTGCTTAGCAATGAAACCAAAGTAATATGTTCTCGCCACCCCCGCTTTACCTTGCTTCTTTCTTGTTCTTCCTGATTTAGAGAGTAACTCAGCCTCTTCCAAATAATTACAGCTTCTCTGAGAAACTATAACTGCATGGGCAGAGGCATGAAATTTTTTTTTTTTGACTAAACATTGCCAGTACAAGCATGAAGTTTTAAGAGCAGATGCTCAATTAATGTTTGTGTAAAAGAAGAACCACGCATAAATCAATTGCTATAATTTATATTCTCAAACATTCTTGAAAAATATAATCTGGTCAAAGTATATATCTTTTACATTTACATAAAGGCAAACTAAACAGAGTAAAGCAAACTGAAAAATGACACACTTTCAGCTCTCTACTAATGTATCAATGTTCTGAGCCTCTCTTAGTGTGGTGTCTTTCACATTTCTAAGCATATCCTTATCCTAAAGTGTAGTTATTCTCATCCTGGATCACAAAATGATTTGAGGATTTCCAATATGTATTTCAAAAAACAGAACTCTTAATCCTAAATCTGACAAACAGCAAACTGCATGTGACCCATTTAATGCATATACTTCTATCATGAACCTAAAATAAACTTTGTTGAAAAAAGTAACAATAAAAAATTGAGGAATAAAAAGTCAACAAGTTATTGATGCATATCAGGAACCCAGGTTGACAGGCTTTTCCAACCACAAAGTGAAGAATGGGCTTCAGACCACACTAGGGGCAAGATGAGCGGCTGGATGTGGCCCTGGAGTGGGCACTGGCTGAGGCAGAAGTGCCAGCACTGGCCAAGGGAGAAGGGCCAGCATTGGCAGAGGCAGACATGTCAGCCCTGGCCGAGGCCAAAGTGCCAGCCCTGGCTGCACCAGAAGTGCCAGGTCTGGCCGAGGCCGAAGGGCCAGCACTGGCCAAGGCAGAAGAGCCAGAACTGGCCGAGACAGAAGGGCCAGCACTGGCCGAGGCAGAAGGGCCAGCACTGGCCGAGACAGAAGGGCCAGCACTGGCCGAGGCAGAAGGGCCAGCACTGGCCGAGGCAGAAGGGCCAGCACTGGCCGAGGCAGAAGGGCCAGCACTGGCCGAGGCAGAAGGGCCAGCACTGGCAGAGGCAGAAGGGCCAGCACTGGCTGAGGCAGAAGGGCCAGGCCTGGCCCTGGCAGACATGTCAGCCCTGGCCGAGGCCGAAGTGCCAGCCCTGGCTGCATCAGAAGTGCCAGGTCTGGCCGAGGCAGAAGGGCCAGCACTGGCTGAGATAGAAGGGCCAGGCCTGGCTGAGGCAGAAGGGCCAGGCTTGGCCCTGGCAGACATCTCATCCCTGGCTGAGGCCGAACTGCCAGCCCTGGCTGCACCAGAAGTGCCAGGTCTGGCTGAGGCAGAACGGCCAGAACTGGCCGAGGCAGAAGGGTCAGGCCTGGCAGAGGCATAAGGGCCAGGCCTGGCCGAGGCAGGATGGCCAGCATGGGCTGAGGCAGAAGAGCCAGAACTGGCCGTGGCAGACATGTTAGCCCTGGCTGCAGCAGAAGTGCCATGTCTGGCTGAGGCAGGAGGGCCAGCACTGGCTGAGGCAGGAGGGCCAGCACTGGCCGAGGCAGGAGGGCCAGCACTGGCTGAGGCAGGAGGGCCAGCACTGGCTGAGGCAGAAGGGCCAGCAGTGGCTACAGCTCTGGCTCTGGCGCTCTCTACCTCCTCTCTCCAAGCCTCCTCATAATGCGGCAGTAAGGCATCGGGGACCAAATCATTGACCTTGCTCAAAAACTCCAGGACTTTCATCTTGCAGTTTTCTGTGAGTGCTTTAGGACCCCACAGGAACTCATAGCGAGGGGGATCGCTGCCGGGCACCTGGTGGTACTCCAGGTACTCTTCCCGCACCAGATCTTCTGTGATGAGCTTCCGGGGGTCTCCAAAGATGAAGTGCCTTCTTCCATCATAGATGTCCAGCATATTCAAGAAGTTCCAGACCTCCTCCTCAGAGGCGCGGCAGCCATTGAGGTAGATGACACCCAGCAGAGGCATCAGAAGACCATTCTTCGGCAGCCCCCGGTCACCTCTCATAGACTCACTGTCGCTGAGATCTACGTTGCTCACCAGGGTATAGGAGTGACTGTTGGGCCTGACTTCCTTCAGCACCAGGCCAAATACCAGCTCCATGCGCTCAGAGGCCCTGCTGAGGATCTCAGGGAATTGCTCCCTGTACCTTTTATTGATTGCCTTCAGCATTTCAGACCTCTTAATGAGCTCCCTCACTTTATACTTATAGAGCATGTACTGCACCAACATCCCTGCTTTCCTGGTCAGAAGATCTGTTTGAGAGCTCTTAGCAGCAGCTGAGGCCTGGGAGGAATTTTCACCTTCCTGAACTTGGCCCTCGGCATCTACACCAGATCTTGAGCATGCTTTGCCACGTGCACCAGCTCTTGAGCGTGCTTTGCCACCGATACCAGATCTTTTGCGTATAGCACCTGCAGTAGCACTGGTGGTGCCTTGGGCTCCCTGAGGCTCTTTGCGGATGCCAGCAGCAGATGAGCTTGAGGGAGCGCTCTCTGAATCAGGAGGAGAGGAGTAGGTGGTCTCTTCTCCCCCAGATGTGGTGGCCTGATCATGAAGACCCTGGGTTTCAGCCCGGGCCTGGCGACGTTTCTCACGAGCACGGTTCTTACTCTTCTGCCCACGAGGCATGACGGCCGTGCTCAGGGACCGTAGGCAGGAGTCTGGGCCAATAGACAGGTGATTGGGGCACCTGAAGGATGGAGAATGAGGTGACATGAGCACCTTAAAACAGGGAGATTCTACCTTGGCTTAATCAAAGGCCGCCTCTGCAGGTGTCCTTGAGGACACTGCCCTAGGAACCCACAAGGCTCCTGTTTTCCTGGTCAGCGTGTCCCCTGAGAATCCCACAGAGGAAGAATAGAGGCCTTAGATTTTTCCTCTGCATCCTCTCAGCCCTGCTTTGGATTTACTGAGGTGACAGCAGGTGCTGGCAGTGGGGTCCTCTCAGCTCATTTCCAGTATTATTACATCAAGTCCTGGCGGAGCCTGGGCACCCTTCCCTCTGCTACTCTGATGCAGACACTTTAGACCTCCACATGATCCAGAAGCAAGTGAAGGGATGCCTCAGTCCACCTCCTTCCGAGGGGATACCCAGTGCTGAGAGCTCAGTAGGGTCTTTCCTATCCTGAGCTCACTGGGATCATCATTCATGGTCTTACCTTGGCTCCTTAAAACGTTGGGCACTGGGGAGGAGCCAAGATGGCAGAGGAATAGGACGGGGAGACCACTTTCTCCCCTACAATTCATCGAAAGAAGAATTGAACGCTGAGTAAATTTCACAAAACAACTTCTGATTGCTAGCAGAGGACATCAGCCACCCAGAAAAGCAACCCATTGTCTTCGAAGGGAGGTAGGACAAAATATAAAAGATAAAAAGGGAGACAAAAGAGCTAGGGACGGAGACCCGTCCCAGGAAGGGAGTCTTAATAGAGGAAGTTTCCAATCACCAGGAAATCCTCGCACTGGCGGGTCTGGGGGAAGTTTTCGAATCTCGGAGGGCAACCTAACTGGGAGGAAAAATTAAATAAGGCCCACAGATTATGTGCCTAAAAGCAACTCCCAGCAGAAAAGTACCCCAGACGCCCGAACCCGCCACCAACACGTGGGGGCGGAATGGAGAGGAGCGGGGGGCATTGCCTAGGGTAAGGACCAGGCCCGAAGGCCCTGAGAGCAATCGGAGGGAGCTCTTTTAAACTGTGGGATAGCAAGGGAGAAAATTAGCCGGCTGGAACACACTGCTGGCCGTTCGCAAGACAAAGGGACTGAGAAACTCCAGAGAAGAGCTGGCCCATCCCCGCTGGAGGTAGGAGGCAGGGGGGAGGGGAAAGGGGCAAATTCAGCCCCAGAGAAGCCACCCCCTCCCACACTGCAAACAGGCCTCCGGTTTCTGTCTAAAGACTTCCTGAGATTCTGGATGGTCTACTTCCGCTGCCGGGAGGGTCACGGCTAGAGGCCAGTACCTGAGAACAAACACAAGCCGCAGGCACCTGACTGGCGCGCGCTGGGGCCCGGAGGGAAAAGGCGCGCCGCATCCGGGGAGAGTGTGCCCAAGCCTCTGGCTGCTTGAGCTGCTCAGGCCGGGGAAGGCACAAAACGCAGGCGCAACCGATTCCGCGCTTTTGTGGAGTACCCGAAAACTGGAACCGCACTCAACGCAGGGCCCGCTCCATATAGAGCAGCCGGGAGCCTGAGCAGTGTAGACGGGGAAAGCACAGACACCCGTGAGCGGGGCAAACCCAGTGTGGCCGGAACACGGTGAGTGCTATCCACACAGAGCGGTATCTGTCTGCAGTGCCCCGCCCTCCCCGTAGCAGGACTGAACTGAACTAGCGAACCTAAATAAGAGATCACCTCCACCCGCCTGTGTCAGGGCAGAAATTAGACACTGAAGAGACGGCAAACAGAAGCCAAATAAACAAAGGGAACTGCTTCAGAAAGGACCAGTGCAACAGATTAAAATCCCTGAAGGTAACACTGGAAGGGGCCTATAGATATCGAGAAGTGTAAGCTGGAAAGAGGAGCTATCTGAAATTGAACCGAACCTACACTGACCACAATAGCTCCAGAGAAATTCCTAGATATATATGTATATATTTTTTAATTAAAAAAATTTTTTTTCTTTCCTTTTTTTTATTTTTTCTCTTTTATTTTCTTTTAAAATTCCCTATTACTTCCCCATTACTCCTCAACTTTCATTTTCATATATTTTTACGATTTTTTTAATTAGGGAAAAAAACTTTTTTTTTCTTTCTTCTTTTTTTTCTTTTTCTTGTTTTTCTCTCCTATTTCGTTTTAAAGTCCTCTAATACTCCTCTATTATTCCTTAGTTTTCGTTTTCACTTCACTATAACCTTGCAAAAAAAAAAAAAAAGAGAGAAGCCCTATTTTTAAACCGAACTTCATATATATTTCTAAATTTTTTTAATGTTTTTGTTTTTAAATATTGTATTTCAAAGAGTCTAACCTCTATGCCAGATTTTTAATCTTTGTTTTTCAGTATATGATATAAATTTTGGACATTTAAGAATCCAATATTCAGTTACCATTTCTATTCAGGAGTGTGTTGGTTACTCTCTCCCACTTTTGACTCTCTGTTTTCTACCTCAGAACACCTCTATTTCCTCCTTTCCCCTTCTCTTCCCAATCCAATTCTGTGAATCTTTGTGGGTGTCTGGGCTACGGAGAACACTTTGGGAACAGATAACTGCGTAGATCTGTCTCTCTCCTCTTGAGTCCCCCTTTTTCTCCTCCTGCTCACCTCTATCTCCTTCCTCCCTCTCCTATTCTTCATGTAACTCTGTGAACCTCTCTGGTTGTCCCTCACAGTGGAGAATCTTTTCACCATTAACCTAGAAGTTTTATCATCAGTGTTGTATAGTTGGAGAAGTCTTGAGACTATTGGAAGAATAAAATTGAAATCCAGAGGCAGGAGACTTAAGCCCAAAACCTGAGAAAACCAGAAAACTCCTGACTACACAGAACATTAAGGAATAAGAGACCATCCAAAAGCCTCCATACCAACACCAAAACCAACCACCACCCAAGAGCCAATAAGCTCCAGAACAAGACATACCACGCAAATTCTTTAGCAACGCAGGAACACAGATCTGAGTGTCAACATACAGGCTGCCCAAAGTCACACCTAACACATAGACCCATCGCAAAACACATTACTGGACACTCCACTGCACTCCAGAGAGAAGAAATCCAATTCCACGCACCAGAACACAGACACGAGCTTCCCTAACCAGGAAACCTTGACAAACCAATCGCCCAACCCCACCCACTGGGTGAAACCTCCACAATAAAAAGGAACCAGAGACCACCAGAATACAGAAAGCCCACTCCAGACGCAGCAATCTAAATAAGATGAAAAGGCAGAGAAATACCCAGCAGGTAAAGGAACATGAAAAATGCCCACCAAGTCAAACAAAAGAGGAGGAGATAGGGAATCTACCTGAAAAAGAATTTAGAATAATGATAATAAAAATGATCCAAAATCTTGAAAACAAAATGGAGTTACAAATAAATAGCCTACAGACAAAGATTGAGAAGATGCAAGAAATGTTTAACAAGGACCTAGAAGAAATAAAAAAGAGTCAATTAAAAATGAATAATGCAATAAATGAGATCAAAAACACTCTGGAGGGAACCATGAGTAGAATAACGGAGACAGAAGATAGGATAAGTGAAGTAGAAGATAAAAAGGTGGAAATAAATGAAGCAGAGAGGAAAAAAGAAAAAAGAATCAAAAGCAATGAGGACAACCTCAGGGACCTCTGGGACAATGCGAAACGCCCCAACATTCGAATTATAGGAGTCCCAGAAGAAGAAGACAAAAAGAAAGGCCATGAGAAGTTACTCGAGGAGATAATAGCTGAAAACTTCCCTAAAATGGGGAAGGAAATAGCCACCCAAGTCCAAGAAACCCAGAGAGTCCCAAACAGGATAAACCCAAGGCAAAACACCCCAAGACACATATTAATCAAACTAACAAAGATCAAACACAAAGAACAAATATTAAAAGCAGCAAGGGAGAAACAACAAATAACACACAAAGGGATTCCCATAAGGATAACAGCTGATCTATCAATAGAAACGCTTCAGGCCAGAAGGGAATGGCAGGACATACTTAGAGTAATGAAAGAGAATAACCTACAACCTAGATTACTGTACCCAGCAAGGATCTCATTCAGATATGAAGGAGAACTCAAAAGCTTTACAGACAAGCAAAAGCTGAGAGAATTCAGAATCACCAAACCAGCTCTTCAACAAATGCTAAAGGATCTTCTCTAGACAGGAAACACAGAAAGGTTGTATAAACGTGAACCCCAAACAACAAAGTAAATGGCAACGGGACCATACCTATCAATAATTACCTTAAGTGTAAATGGGTTGAATGCCCCAACCAAAAGACAAAGGCTGGCTGAATGGATACAAAAACAAGACTCCTATATATGCTGTCTACAAGAGACCCACCTCAAAACAAGGGACACATACAGACTAAAAGTGAAGGCGGGAAAAAATATTTCATGCAAACGGAGACCAAAAGAAAGCAGGAGTTGCAATACTCATATCAGATAAAATAGACTTTCAAATAAAGGCTGTGAAAAGAGACAAAGATGGACACTACATAATGATCAAAGGATCAATCCAAGAAGAAGATATAACAATTATAAATATATATGCGCCCAACATAGGAGCACCGCAATATGTACGGCAAACGCTAATGAGTATGAAAGAGGAAATTAATAGTAACACAATAATAGTGGGAGACTTTAATACCCCACTCACAACTATGGATAGATCAACTAAACAGAAAATTAACAAGGAAACACAAACTTTAAAGGAAACAATGGACCAGCTAGATCTAACTGACATCTATAGGACGTTTCACCCCAAAACAATCAACTTCACCTTTTTCTCAAGTGCACACGGGACCTTTTCCAGAATAGATCACATCCTGGGCCATAAATCTAGTCTTGGTAAATTCAAAGAAATTGTAATCATTCCAGTCATCTTTTCTGACCACAGTGCAGTAAGATTAGATCTCAATTACAGGGAAAAAAATTATTAAAAATTGAAACATGGAGGCTAAACAACACGCTTTTGAATAACAAATCATAGAA